AGTATGTCAAGGGGGTTCCCCAGCCCATTCAGGCCCAGAAGGGGCTCCCCTGCCCTGGCCCTGAGAGAGGAGAGGGGCTGTACAGGGGATTCCCTTCATGGTTCCCTTCCTCGTCCTGAGAATCAAGAAAGACTTCGCTGGGGTCCCCCTCCCGGTTTTAGGAGCAATTAAAGGGGGGAAATGGGGACACAAAGATAGGGCAGGACTTTCCTGGGGCTCTCCCAGGGATCAGGGGCCTCCCAGGGACACCATCCGGGTGGGGTTATGGGGTTACGTGCTCTGAATTACATAAGGGTGAGGAGGCCTGGCTGGGTGCTTTTCTGAAAGTGCCTCAACATTTGCTTTTCCCTGGTTGCCATGAGAGGCTGTCAGGGCCGGCAAGAAAAAGTGACCAAGGTCACCAGGCTGGAAGTGACAGAGCTGGAATTAATACCAAGATTTCCCCTAAATCCAAGCCAGGCTCTTCATTAAAAACAAGCAGAAATCCTCCATAACTTTATTTTTTAGATTACAAAATCAAACAGGCTCGTTGTAAACAAATGCAGAATGTTACAGATCCACGTGATTTACGAAGCGAGAGGCTGGTAATCAACTCCCGAAGGAGGAGAGTTTGGTAATGCTCTGGTGTCTGCTTCCAGATTTCTCTCCACGTCGCCAGAGACCAGACCTGGCCCGGCGGGCCCTCCCACTGGGGCCGGGACCGGAACGCCAGGCCGGAAGGAACAGGGCTGGGCCCCGCTGCAACACTGCAGCCCGGGCCGTGCCCCACGCCATTCTCCCGGGGGCGGCCGCGCTAACGCGCGCCTGGCCGGGCTGGGCCGGGTGGGGCCCGGGGAAGCCGCTACGTCACGAAGCGGACGGGAGGGAGCCCGCGGCGCTCCAGCCAGGCTTCCATTACATCACCCCGCGGCGCGGAGCGGCCGCGGGGTAAACTCCGCCGCAAACCATTGGCTACCTTGCGGCCCTTCCAACCAATAGCACGATTGCATGCAAATCGGCCATTGGGCGTTTGCTTCCTTCGGATCTGGTGTATGCAAATAGACGCCCTCGCGAGGATGGGCGCGCCCCGGGATGAGGCAGAAGAGGGGTCCCGAAGTCTGTAGGAGGCTGGTTTGCGATTAGCCATCCCAAATCTGGTCCAGCCAGTCCCCTGCGGAAAGGAGTGGAATTAAGGGTAAACTCCCTTCATTCTTGAGCTGTCTTTCCGGTGAGACCCCTTTTCTTGGAGATTCAGTGAACCTAAGAAATGATGCAAAAATTATTTAGGTCAACTTGGAGATGAGGAAAAAGAAGAAATAAGAAATAAAGAGATACAGGGGCCCCTGGGGGGTTCAGTCGATTAAGTCTCTGACTCTCGATTTCGGCTCAGGTCAGGATCTCAGGGGTGTGAGACCAAGCCTCCTGGGCCTGGAGCCTACTGGATTCTCCACCACCACCACCACCCCGCCCCC